AAAAAGCACATGTCATATGTCTTGAAGTCTAATTTTATTCAGTTCACATTTCTTCAATTGTAAGACAAAAATAAATGCAAGAGACTGGAATTCAGATTCAAGTTTGAATTACAACAAATTTTGGTGTAGCTTTGTAAACGCATATTAAACAGTCTTTGAATTTGGAAAAGTGCGTCAAAGTATTTTTTCTGGATGGATTCCATCTAAGTTTTGCTACTTCTTTTTCATTTTGTTTTTGATAAAAATTGCGTCTTGTTAAAATGTACGTCACAAATCCTATTGGTTGAAAAAGTGATGCATTTGTAAATAAGTTCTTTCTGAATTGACTGGATGGCAAATTTGAAAGGCAAGTATGTCATTTGTACGGTAGTGTAATTCCTGTGCGCTAGTTTACATTCGAGTTAGCTCCTGTAGCTCTTGGCCATTCTCTTCGATCGACGCATTTTTGCTGTAACAAATAATACAAAGCCATTATGAGTTCGTTCTATTTTTAAGTCAACCGAGACAAAAACGATGAATTCCAACTGAATAAATAGAGTCTATTGTGTGTACCTTCGATTGCGATATCTCATGATGACAAGAAAAATGACGGCGTTGAACACCAACAAGCCCACCATTATAAGCGTTGGAATTACAATATTGAACATTGTATCACTCTCAACCATTTTCACGTTTTTTTTTCGCCCGCAGAAAAATCTAAATTACAAACGATTCAATGAAATGTTGGGTATGTAAGTAAAAATCTAATTCACGTTACTAAATCGAAGAGAAGTTCACTTTTGATGCGTCTCTATACAATACTGTGTCAGTGCTGTTATCACGCTATTGATTAGAAATATCTTTATTTGAACAAGCAGTTTTCACAGCTCTCAAACTAATGGGCGCGTTTTGATTCGTGTTTTTTTTTGTTTAGTATTGAAATTTAAATCGTATTTGAATCAAGTGACAACACAAAGTACATGAAATGAATCAACGAAAATTAAACTGATATGTATTGCGAACAAACAAAGAACATTCCGATCAGAATCCAAAAGTCTGCTCTTAATGGAACGGTTATTAAACTTAAGAATTTCTTTTCACTTACTTTTCACACACTAAATCAAATGCCGACTCTATGCAAGAGTGCAGAAGTCACCGATTGATACCCTTTAATTTATTTTTAATTGAATACGAACAAAACTGTGAATGAACTATACGGCGGAGTATGTTTGGAGGTTGTCGCCTAATGCACAATACACAAAGCATGTGCCATACACATCGACGGCTGCGTGTGTGAGTTTGTGACTGTGTTTGTGCGCATCGCATCGAAGGAAGTGTCAAAACGACGCTCATATGGAACTGTACTGATAGTGTGAACGAGACGAATATGTGAATGAAATTCGCGTCGTTTCTCTCTACGGTCTGACTCGTAGTTGTGTGTAATGTTTACAGACCTTAATGTCAGTCGCAATAGTTGTCGTTTCTCTTCCAACTACATTTTTCGGATAAATTGAACTTGCTACTTTTATTCGATCCATTTTTCTGATGGAATTTTTTGTTTTCGAAGAAAATGGCAAATCTTCATAACGAAACTCTCAAGTGAAACAATTCGTGAAATTACATTGGATTGAGATAATTAATATTCTGAAGTTGAGAAGTAGCAGACTTACCTTTCGACCAAGGATTTCTTTGAACGACCAAGAATTTCAACGAACGAAACTCATTTTTCTCACAAAATGTACCTCTAGCTGCATCAGAACTGCAATTGTTCCAAGAAATTACTCGAGTTTCTCTAAGAAGATCAAAGTATTTTCCACAAATCCAGTAAAAAACTCAAGAATAACAGAAATTTATTTAAATTTTAGTTGTATTTTATTGAATTTCTTTCTGTTATAATTGATCATTACTCAAATATGGTTTTATTTGTCGAAAATTTGGTAAATATATCAATAAAATCAGTACAATTCAAAATGAAATGCAATAAAATTGATTGACCTCAAAATGAATAAATGACAAAGCACTTGGTTAACTGTTATATTTTGTACAAAAATATGTTTAAAGTAAATATTAAATGAGTATAATTTACTAAAAAATAAAATCTAAATTAAATGCTGACGAGTTCAATACGAATACAAATAAGAACAAACAAAATCAGAGTCGATGGGAAATAAATTATTATTTAAGCTACGGGGCTATGGCAGTGCCACATCCTTTGGTTAATAAAAAGAATCAATCAGGTTGAAATAAAATTAAACTAAAGTGCTAAACAGAGTTGCTAAATATAAGAATTGCTTTAACCGACACATATTGTCTAATAAAGTGACATGAAATTATTTACACTAGAACATTTTTCAATTTTTTTTACATCTATTTTGGTTCTGCTGCCTTGGACATCAATGGATACATGCAACATTTTTCTTTGGCATAACATTATAATTTCACGTGCAATTTCGAAGCTGTTTTTAAAGATACGACTCAATCATTTTGTTTTTTTTTCGCTGTTGTTGTTATTTTTTTGGGCATTATAATCCCATTTACGCGTCGGAAGATAAAAAATAATCTATTCGCCGCTAACAATTGTCCTGAGTCAAAAAGCCAGATAACAATACATTTTGTTGCTCTATATCAACTGATAAACATTGTTAAAAGCCAAAGCCGAATTGCTCATGTGATGCGTGTCATAATGTTGCAATTACTTTATATCACCTCGTATGTATATATACAGATATTTTCTTTTCAGCAAATATTAACACTTTTTTTCTACTCTGAACAATTATAGTCTGGCGAGTCCTTCTTCTTCTTGCTGATTTTTTCTGAAAGTTCAAAAGTATACAATAATTAGTACTTTTGATTTGAAAAAGTGTTAAATGAATGAAAATGAAGAACAAATATTACCTCTTCTTTCTATATCGCCATATGACCAACAAAATGAGTGCATTGCCAACGAAGAGTCCGACCATGATTAAAAGTGGAATTAAAATATCGAAAAGTGGATCGGCCTGGTCGGGTTTTGCTCCCGGTCTACTTTGTTTCCATAATTGTGTGACATATGGATCGTCTTTCTTGACTTTCACTGATGCGTGCTCTGCAATGGAAAGGAGTCGTAAATGATTAGAAGTGTGTCGTTATTAAAATCAACCAAAAATAAGGGTTATTTTTATTTAGCACTGTTCAAAACCTATGAATAAAAAAACCAAGTTCAAAAATTGTGTTAAAATTTGTCATCAAAACTCAAAGCGAAAAAATTGAAAAGCCAAACATAAACTCACTTAAAACAAGATATAGAAATTCGGGTAGTGGAAACATTTTCTGAATGTGTGTAAACACATATGAGATTCGAACTAATTTTAATCTCTTTTGTGTGTAATTTGTAACGGGAAAGTTTTTCTTCCTGATTTTAAAATGTAAACAAATAAACAAACGAAAACGTGACAGAACAGAAAAACAGTGCCGATGGTGCCAGTTCAAGTGCTGAAAACAAACTGAATAAATGGATCGGAATAAGCTAATTAGGCCGTCTTATCACTTTGGCTCTAATATCTGTATGCCAATCTACTATTTGCGAACGAGTTTTGTACTAGGCGAAGGAGGGGAGAAGGGATATGTGTCACATTTGTGACTAAACAATTTGAATTATTCAAATGCGAGTTCAAAATTTGTTCACACAGAACAAAAACTGAATCACACGTAACCACTGACCCCATGCTTCTTCTTCTTTTTGCGAGAATAATATATATTTTGATAATTTATTCAAAAGCCAAGATTAATAAAAACGCAACGAATAAAAGAAAAAGCCGATTGTAAGCAAAGAATGAACAAACAAACAAAAAACGTTGGCAAGATCAAGAAACTGCAGCGCTTCATACAATCAACAATATATTTCGATTAGCGAGAGAGAGAGAGAGATACGGTCGCTAACATACCGACACAATTTGGTAGACTATCATGCCATGTATTTCGATCGGTGCAGTACAATGTGCGACTGCTCTGAAACGTGTCAGGGAATATATAGGATGGATCACATAGAAATTTCACCGAATCATCGGTTTTCGACACCAATCGACCGTTGTTCGGTGCAGTTGGAAGAATGCATCCATGTGCTATAATAAAATATGTGGAATAAAAAATTGGACATTTTTTTGTTTTGATTTCGATCAAACAACAGCAATAAATTGGACATGTCTGAACTGAAAAATGTGAAATATTCATGTCTAGAGAATCGGATGAAGTGCAAATAAATGATACAAATAAACACGTTGACACTAACGACATCTACAAGTTCAAAATGAAATGAATGGTGTGTGTAGTTTGTGTCTTCGATGATAAAAATCATCACATGCTCACATGTGCCAGTAGTGCATATGGTGCAGTGAAGTGTGTGTATTTTGTTCGGTTGAATGAAGCTATGAGTGTGGCTTGGGGATTAAATTATGAAATTACCTGTATAATAAATTAATATTCCACGCTTTGGATAGGCCAATGCTGAAGTGGTTCGGATGGCAATCTGCAGAGCAAGAGAGAGAATTACATATCATGGAATAAAAAAATAACATATTTTTTATCAGTTTCAAGTGTTTTTGATGATTTTTCAAGCATATTTTATCATTTTGATTAAAACAAGGGTGCAGAAACCCATGTTTTTTCTGCGAATAAAACAACAAAAAAACCAGTACAACTGTTACCTGCAGTTCGTTTGATTCACTCAATATTTCCAGTGGTTTTACAATTTCCGTACAGTTTTTATACAGCATTATTCTATTCTCAACGTCGACAATTTGAAGGTAGTCTTTGCATACAGGGTCGTCTGCGGAAAAACATACAAAGTAGTTTTTTTTCTACATTTTTTTGCATGGATAAATTTCACAAAATTCTAATCAGAAGTTCTGATTCAAGACTAAAAATGTTCCAAACTATTTAAACCAAAAACTAAACGGACATTCAACTTACATCTCAAATTAACGTCCAGCAACACAAGACGAATGCGTTGGCCACTTGTAACGGTAATTCGCCAGCTGCAATTCGAATTACCTACATAATACTTTGGATAACCGGGCGATGCGATGAATCCTTGTTGCAACAGTGGTTGTCTAATGGCCGTTTTCTGATAGCTTGTGTGTGCTCGGTGATTATTTTTGCGCCAAACTTTTGGTCCTGTCACTTCAACCACATCATCCTCGTAGCTTGCATCGTAATCTTCCTCACTCTCCTCAATGCTCTCCTTCTCTCCGACGTCTGCTCGGTTTGTGTTTATCACAGTGAATTCATTTTCGATGCGTATTTTTGCATTCGATTGACCATTTGTTTGGTTTTCGTTGGGTGCAAAAATATCATTGCTGCCGCTGTCGATGGGTACTGTTTCGAAAATATTCACATTGGGTGGAAGTAATTCATTATTCCATAAATTAACGGTGGTTTGTTGTTGTGTGTGCGTTGCTGCCGTTTCTGATGTTTGCATTGTGGGCACAAGCGATGAGAGGTGCTTATGATTGTGCATTTCATCGTAGCCGAGTGTCGATCGAACATCACGTAACCCATTATTGCTGCTATCGAACACCGTATTTTCGATGATACTTTTTGTGTTATCGGCATGCTCGATGGGATTGATGTGACTCGTATAAACTGTGGGTTCCGTTGATCCAACCGTCGTCGTTGTCGTTTTTGTATGCATCGAATTCTCACTATTTATGATATCCTCGTTCTCCACTTCTTCTTCTTCTTTTTTGAAATAAAATTCGTCAGCAATTTTTTCGATGTCATTAAAATCATCCAAATGTGCTGGCAGCACTTTCATCACACGGAAATCCTGCGAAACGAGAGAGGAATGAAAAAAGAGAAAATGAAAAGTTTGGAAAAAAAAACTGGCATATTTTCTGGGAAATCAACGAGCTAAATTAATGTGTAAACACTACTGTGATATGCGCGAATAATGCCAGGGAAATAGATTAATTGAGTCGAACGAATTTCAATTAAGCATTTTACTCATGCTGCTTGATTCACTCCCATTTCTCGATTACATTTTTGTGTGTACATTTTTTGTTCATGCTCATCAGCACGGATCTTCTTCTCATTACAAAGCAAATAACGTTACGTCATTTGTTTTCTCTCTATGTTGAGGCATTCAACTCAATTACTCAATTGGGAGCATGATGTAATCGGTGGAATGTGCAAAAATTAAGCCATTTTCATCAGACCAAACTGATTCATTTCAGTTTTTCTTACAGCAAACAGAACAAAAGTTCAATAAAATTCAGTTGGATACAAACCTGTGAGTAGACTCCTTTCCGTGGTTTATCGATTTTTTCAGTGACCAATGCTGATTTGCGTCGTTCGTTTTCTATTTCGGATGGTGATGGCTTCAGTATTTTGAGATGATGAAACATTTGTTCGTTTTGAATCAGAGCTTCGGCTATGGGTCCATCGCGATTCTCCTCGCGCAATCCACTCGGTACACGTTCAACGTCATTCTCATTGGGTAACGAACGTTGTTGCGGCATGTCGTCAGGCTCCTCTGGCTCGAGCTCCGGCACTTCGTTCACTACAACCAAATGTTCACCGCAGAATTTATTTAAGCGATAGCCTAAGGAAAAGTAAACACACATTATAACAATATCATTTTCGCATTGGCGCACGCAAAAAGAGCGGTAATTTGGGAACAAATGAATGTGAATTTAATCGCGCAAAAATGTCATTTGGTTGCCCTACAGACAGAAAATACGTCAGACCTTGCTAATTTGCTACTGTAACGAATTAATATGGCGCATCATTCAATTTGCGTGGCGATGAAAAAGAATGAGCAATCGGGCAACAGCAAAAAAGGGTTATAAATTGCTGTACATGGCCAAAAGGACATGTCTCAAAGGGACACAAACAACCGTTTCAATCAAAATATGTAAATAGCAAATGTTGCATAATGTGTGCGAATGAATGTGTCCATCGTTACGGCCGACGCCTAGTTCTTTGCTATTTGCGTTCTCATTTCACACTCGGTATCGATTAAAAAAGAACAGTTTAATGTAAGGTTTCAAATGAGCAAACGTGACAATTGTGTATGGTTGAAAAAGCAGAGTCACAGTGCAAGCAGCATACTAATGAAGTCGCACATAAAAAAATGTCAACAAACAACGCGACGATTCATTTATCAATGCGTCACAACGACCACCCCTATTTCATTTATAAACATTCGGTGAATGTAGGTCAGAGCCAAGACAGACAAATCGGCATTCATATGCCTGTCGTTGCGCTGCGCCGCGCTAACGTTCTCTCTCTCTCTCTCTCTCTCCCTGTATGTGTGTGTGTGTCTCGTTGAGGGAATTTTCCAAATTGTATAATCTATTCTAAGCAGCATGAAATCAAATTGTGCTTTGTCATCGTCACGTATTTTTGCAACAATCTCCGAAATATGAACATTTGTGTCGGCTAAGTCTAGGCTTTGATTCAACCAATCCCAACGCTGGAAAAATATCAAATTGGTGATGGACAAAAATAGAGAGTGAGAGAAGTGATGGTGACAGAAAAAAAGACGCGTTTTAAGCATAAAATTGATTTAGTCGTTTGCCGAGCCTATTGTGTTGTTAGTGAGCTCATCTCACACCCACTACATCTGTTATCGACTTGGTATGTTGCCATGAATACGTCGTTTTCATTCGAAAACTACAACTTCGAAGCGTCTAGCATGTGCCATTTCGAATGCCTTAAATGAAATGTATCTAAATACAATCAGTGTTCGATGAGTTTGCCAAACTAAATGGTACTATTCCGTGTCTATCAATGGTTATTAGCGAGCATGCAATCCAAGGTCAAATGAATGGAATGGAGACGACACATAACATAGATACTAGGTTTTGCGTGAGACGGCTTGTTGCTGTTCTTTCTTCTTTTTGCCACAAACCTCGTTGGAAAATTATGCTCATTTTATTAGAAAAATATCGATTTTGTGCGCTCGCCACAATGACGCGGTGGTGTCGTCGTGACAGGCAACCACTTTCGCTCCTTTGAGACGTGCTATTGTTAGATGAGATTTTCCTTAAAGAGATAAGAGATTTCAAGGTTATTTCGTTAATGCCAACGTAATTCCGGTGCCAGCATTCTGCTTACACCATTGCGGTGTTAGAAAAAACAATACCAAATGAATAAAAAGAAAAACAAAGCCATTCATCCAATTGGTTCAATCTCTTCTCGTTCACATTCAATCTTGGTATGTTTGCCAATTTTTCTTCTCTCTCTCTCGCTGTTTGTCTCTTGCTCGATCAGTACTTATTTTCAATCAGCTTCGACTAAAACAATGTGCTTCGGTGAGATAGTGGCAAAACAGTTGTAGTTCGAAATCAATAATGTATTTCCATTGGGTGCACTGCGGTGTCTGATGAAGACAAACCGTCAATGGTTTATCGATTCATCGCACATATGGCCAAAATTCGTAATTGAATACAGGGATGCAATGAAACGAAAAGCCATGCACGCACTATTCGACTCACTCAACAACTGGTGACGATTGAAAGGGTGCTGTGCTCACATTATTATCGTTCATTTTGTGCGAATACCAAACTCAAAAACTACGAAACAGCACATTAATTTATTTTCTGTTTATGACACTTAATATTGGATCGAGCAAACATTTTCAACCCTCCCACAAAAATCCGGTTCACATCCGTCTGGTATTTAAATAAAATAGCATTTTGAAAGTCATGTTTTTGCGTAAAATGTCGAGTTTTTGTTTGGACAAAAAAAACGCAAAATAAATCGATTCAATGGGATCGGTCACCGTTTTTGGTTATAAATGAGCTTCGTTCGGCACCGAAATTCCAGTGTGTTTTTGAAGTTTTTCTGGATCATTTATTGGGAACAACTAATAAAACACAACAGTAACAGTAACAGTTACATTTTGGGCGATACGATGTCGCAGCAGCAATAGTAGTAGTAGTAGTAGTAACAGTATGAGCCCATACGTATAAATTTCAACGGCAACTAATTACACTTTCATTTACCACGATACGAACGACACAGAGAGACATTTTTTGGCACTCAACAACATTGCGAATGAATGCAAACGGTGTTACGGTCACTGACTGCGTTTCACTTCATTTTGGCAGACACAAATGCAATTACATAAATTAAAGAACGTTCATGAGCAAAAATGGAAGAATGCAGTGAAAGAAGAGCGGTCGAATTTCGGAACTCTCTTTTCTCGTCCGCACGTAACGTACGAATAGCGACCAAACCGAATTAAAACGGTGAGAAACGATTTCGATAATTCAACTAGAATGTAATTGGATTTCGTAATTATTTACACTGTATCCGATTCATGAGTATAATGTTTCACGTGTTCCATCTGCTACTTTTGTTGCTGTTGCTGGGTAGTCACCCAGTGTTGTGCGACAAGTCAGTGGTTCCATGAATTTACGTTGGGTGTTTAACTTGTGGGCCGGACTGTGAGAGAGCATTTGAATTGAATTCATTGAATATTTTTTGTTTTGCGTTTTGCGAATTCGTTGTACGTGAAAATGTGCAGTTTATGATTCTTTTGTTTAGCAAATATTCCACTTATTTCCAGCAAAATATTCCGTCCAAAAATGTATGCGAACGCAAAATATTTTTCAGCAAGGCAGATCGGGAGGGATCCAATGAGATGATATCATTTTCATTATGCTCAATGGAAAACAGTAAACCGATAAATGATGAGTGTGTTCAAATGAGAAATATTAATGCGTTTCCTTCTCGGTGTGGCGTCGTAACGAGCCTTTGCACCGAGGATAGAATTAATGCGAAAGAAGTACGGACCGCAATTATAGACTTTCTCACGTTTTATTTGGCGCTCTCTCTCTCTCTCCCCCTCTCTCTCTCTCTCTTTTCGTCATCCATCTAATAAATGTATCCGAATCGGAGAATATGAACTTGATACGTGGTGTAGTAACACTTGCCCATCGTTGTGTGGTTTGTTATTGTTATTATTTTCTCGTCATAAATAAAGCAGACCATAATGTTTGCCATCAATTAGACGAAAATGCAAAATGAAGCCCACTCGATATATGTTTCATTCTCGTGAAATATTTCTCTGTTAGCCTTTGCACACTGATTGTTATGGACATGATTTCATGCACACACATATGTGACGCACTATTTCGAATTGTTCAACAACTTTCGATGGTAGTTTTTGTGTGTGTATGTTTTGCTTCTGCCACCGTAACGAAGTAATGAAGGCAACCAAATTATTCGTAGGGGTTCGGTCGGCGAGTTGCAGCAATGCGTTTTGCTATCGATTTCCATTGTTCACTCGTTCATATTGCGTTTTCATTTCCTTCGTTTATGCATGGCTACCGAGTGGAAACCTCATCGTTATGTGTGTTGCCGTTGTTCAAGTGTGAGCACTGAATGCACAGTGGCACTGCCAACAATACTCGAAATACATCGCGCTAATATTTACGTTTATATACGTATATTAACACGCACCGAACAAAAGATACTAATCTGTCTGGATGAAATTTTGAATTCAGTGCACACATTGCACATGCTATCCTTTTGTCATAAATCGTCCAACTTTCCAAAGTTGATTGTACACTTTTTTCCGACATTCTTCAGAAAACTTTCCATGCCAGCAATTTTCCTTTAGTTGAACCAAAAATTGCTTCGTCTTGGGAACAAACGGGAGAGACAAAAATTGGATGGAAATTGTTGGTGCATGTCAAAAGATCGTTTGTATTGATTAAAATCACAACGCAAGCACACGTGTTGTATCGACGGTTTCCGAAGTGTGTGCAGACGACCCGAACGAATTTTCGAGATATTTCGAAGCAATTTCATTTTATCGGCGAAAATTTTGTGCAAAAAAGGGCCATTTCAACATACAGAATTTGAGGGTTTCACACACAAACACATCTAGCTGTGTATCAGATATAAAATAAATGGAAATGTATTCAAAATGAAATTGTATCCAGTAAATACATTTTAGCAAGCAACACGCGTGGCATGTTAAAAGACTATATTCAAATGTAGTTTTATTGTCAGAGCAATTGAAAAGCAATTTTCACATATCGATCAAATTGGAATCTTGATTGGCTATATTCACTCGCTTCGCGTATGCGATTCGACATTTCAACGAATCGATATTCAAAATGGGAGACGGAACTAACGGCAATGTGCAGTGCAAATTATAATTTTGTTACAAACGGATATCAATCTCATTTATGGTTAGGCGTTGCGTTCGATAATGATCAATCTGTGCCATAGTGGCTCGAAACTAAGCCGAGAATGGAAATATTTGCAAAGACAAGCCAGACGTCTGATAGTCAGTTAAATTGCCCTTTAAATCAGTGTGCATTTCCTCGGCTATTCGGAATTGTGTTTAAGCCTAGATAATACCATCCACCGTCTGGAGTAAATGCATGAGCGTGAGTAAATGCATTTTCCAAATTTATGCGCCTAGAAATGGTGTGCATTCTTCATTTGGTCGGAAATGCATCGCATTCATGCAATAGCAAAGCCGCTTTCTTTTTTCCATCGGATGCTATGCAGTCTGCGTGCAGTAAACGCCATGGCGATTGACCCAAATGCACACAAAATGCTAAAACGGAATTGTACAGCTGGGATACTTGACGATGAGCTGTTAAAACTGTTCGTTTCGTTGGTTTTTTTTCCACTTCTTTGTTGGTCGAGCACATTTCCGAGAGCTAAGTGCCGCCTAAACGGCTTTTTAAATATCTCCTCCTCGCACATGTGACAAAAATACATACACACACATACACAGTGAGCCAAAATGCAAACGGCAACCCTCGAAACCAAGTGAAAAACAAACACAAAAACTCGGAACAATGCAGGGATATGAATGAGATACAGTCGGGAATGATAATTTCATAATTTTTGCATCGTCCTACTTTTTGCGCAATGGATTTTTTCTCTCTAACTCCCTGACTCTCTGACTCTCTTCCATTGTTCCACTTTCGTCACGTTCTACATCTCTTTATCTGTCGAATGGCAATGGCAATTGTCTATAGATTCTTTTCCCGTACAAGAAGAGAAAGAGAGAGAGAGAGAGAGATGAGATGAGATGAGATGATGCTGCGGAATTGGCCATTCACCACTGCACTACACACATAAATTTCAAACATGGGATAATTGTATGAATCGCACGTATGGATGCAGTTAGAAACAACAGTTATGGCATGAATAGAACAAAGTCTCTCTCTCTCTCTGTTCATAAAATCCACAAACAGATCCGGAGCCAAAGCAACAGCATCAAAATGAACAGAAAAAAACGACGCTACGACTCCTGTGGGAAAGATATTAACATCATTTTTATGTTTTGTTGTTGCATCATTCGTTTTTTTTCTCTGTTGTTTAATTTTCCAAAATAGAGCGATTCATCCTGGGCTCTAGGACGAGTTTTATTGCGCATTTATCTTATTATTACAATTGATTGCCATTCTGAGCTGCTTCGTAACATTCAACGTACCATTGGTATAATGGAAAAAAGTCCGTAGTTTATAACAAAAAAAATTGCTCTCTTTCTTCCGTTCCGTGATCGCATTTCAATATATAGTCTCTGTACAGTCGATAGGAATTTTCTGACATTAAATCGGTGTTTTTTGTGACTTCACTGTCATTCATTCAATAGAATCCACAATATTGGTAAGGTTTCAAATGCAATCGATAAATCTACATGAAAAAGAAAATGCCGTGATTTTTGTTGATACACTCGACTCTCTGTTTACAGCGGCCACACGTATGCCATATATACAGTACACACGTGTGTTATTGATTTCTTTTTCGCTAGCAACGCTTCTTCGACACTTCGATCGAAACGTGCCTCGATTCATACTTATTTTCGGTTCGCTTCTTCTTCCCTCTTCGGTTTATCTCGAGACAAATTCGTTTTTTTTGTCGTCACCAGTTCATGTCGTAGATGACATAACGGAAATGCGATTAACTGTTCAAGTATGCACATCTGGTGTCTTGGGCACAGGGAATGTGCGATATTCAGCAACAGTAAAATGTTTTGTGCAGCTTTTTTATCAGCGCATATCTGAAGTTTCGCAATTTTGCACATGCCGAAAAATGGATTTTTTCCCTAAATATTTAGAATATGGGTGAATATTTAATAATATTTTGCATTTTGTTGAATTTTCAGTTTGTCGAAGTTTTCATAAATTAGTTTCAGTGGAGCGAATAGTTTTATGGTCGTTACATTCGAAATTTACCCGGATCGTTTTTTACTTTATCACCATTTCTGGATGTAGAACATTTTTGATTGTGTATACGAATGAAATACGCTTCTGACTTCATGCATGAATATTTTCATTTTATTGGAATGTTTTTCTTTCTCGTTAAACACATTTTTAATGGTTCAAGTCTTTTTGAAAATCCTTTCTTCCATAGTTTTTACTCTAGTTTTTTTCTTCTTTCGTTTTTGTGTCGTTTTTTATTTGTCTTTGTCTACAAATCACTTGCCGATCCATTTCGACCTGGAAAATGTAAACAAGGAACTACCTTTCCGGTGCGGCGTGGCGCGGGTCATACAATCAAAAATAAAGCATTTCGAAACACCTGGTAAACACCGGGAATCGCGTGAGAAATACATATTCATAAACGAACACATATTCAGTCGATGAGCTAGCTCTTAACCGACATATATATTTTTTTAACTCATTACTATATTTTTCATAAAATATGATCCCTTTGGGTTTTTTTATTTATTAAAAAAAAAGACCATTTGTTATTCCTTTGGAAATCAAATATCATAGCGATTCTATTATTACACCTTTCCATCGGAATGAGGTTATTGAACTGTAGCACGGCATTCAAATCCTCTCATAGAAAACACAAAAGACAAAAACCAAATCGACTCTTTCTCCGAGTTTGAAATGGGATTTAAACCAGGTTACGACTGCATATGACACACGAAATAATGGCAGAAAAAGAACAAAAGAAACTTCCGATTTGAACGGAGAATTTCGCGATTTCGCCCATTTCATTGTTAGTCTTTGATTACGCATAAGTACATTCCATACGATGAAACTTGTTCAATTTGTGTCGAGAAAAACTTCAATAACCCTTTGACGACCAAAACTGAACGGCTGGGAATTTTGCAATTCTGATTGCAGATTTGTGCTCAGCGACCCCAAAAATATTAACAAAAGTGTTATCAAAAATTAATTTTTTTAATTGCAAATATGAAAAAAATGATGGGACATATGTGTCTTTACTAAATAACTATTTACCTTTATTTTTCTATGAAAAAAACATGTCTCCCATAAGAACTACGTGTAAAATCTTTTCCAATTTTAAAATTTATAGAATTTTTTGTAGAAAAGGCGATTATCCTTAGAAAGTAACAGACACTCCGTACAACATTTCCAATTTTCAGCTTTAAAAGTTGTACCCTTCAAATTATATAGGGTTTGACGGAATTTGAAAAAAAAATTAAGATTTTTCGACTTTGAAGTGTTATATTTGAGCACAGTGATGTAAAATATCCAATATTATGTTACTTTCTGGTAGCTACATTTATTCTCTTTCAAAAGAAACCAATTTTATCGAAATCGGTCTAAAAATGTGGAAATTATTGACGAAAAACAAAATGGGACATATGTGTCCCAAAGGTCGTCAAAGGGATAATAACTTCGATTGCAGGTCTTTTGAACTTTCTCCAGGTAGTTGAATTTTTTGCTTCATTTATGCAAAAAACTGCAACGTACAACAATGTAATATCATTGATATGAAATGCATGTTCCATGCGGATTCACACACAAATTGTGAATCACAATGTGAATTCCAAGGGATGTTTCGATGGCAAAAAGAGCAACTGAAAATTTGTTAGTTTTCGTTTATGGATTTTATCTACACCGTTATTGTGAGGATCTCCATTCGATACTGAAGAAAAAATTGGCTATATTTTTCCATTGAACTCTCGAAGTGGAACATGTGTAAAAGTGGTGTTCGATAATAATATGTTTTCTTTGACCGTAACCAACCAACAACTATCTGGCAACAGCAACAACAGCCATAGGGAAAAGATGAGCAAGAACTAGCTACATATGTTGAACACAGCCACTTTGCCGCTGTTGTTGCAATAGTTGCTCGATAGATGATAGATTGGCTTTCTAACTAAAAAAACTTTTATTCGATGCTTTTAGTTTTGTTTGGTCATAAATTTGGGTCTATTTCTACTCGAAAAATGTGAATGACCGTTGGAAATTGGATTAAAACTTGCTAAAGATATCTTTAGCACATATGTGTTTAATAAAACATTTTTCGTGGTGTTTTTAAATGGAAATTATCTTGGGGTTTATTTATACCAGAGTATAATTTAGAACGCATGTTGCATGTTCATTCCCTAAAAAAAACTAACCAAGTTAATGGTTTTAATTTTAATATCTTAAGTGACCTGCTATTTACGTTACAAATGCGATTCCAAAACTGGACACGTTGATCACATGCAGCGCATGTTCTGACAAGCAATTCAATGAATAAATTGAGTGTTTTTTCCCCGAAAATGTTCAGCTATCGCAGCATACTTCATTAGAAATCCAATTAAAATGCATTTTTGGTGAGCAGTTCTACACAGTTTGTTCCGTTTTATTTGAAAGAACTACGAATTCATGCCGAAAATTCCATGTTATTTCACGAATTTCATATTACTTCATGTTTTGATCGAAAATTTCCGTTTTTCGTTTGCCATTTCAGCAGCTCAACCAAAATTTATTTCGGAAACGAGTTATTAGAACGACCAACAAATGAAATTACAATTCATTCTCGGCTTTTGAATTGCTTATAAATGGATTTGAAGAGAAAGAAAAAATTGGCACCAGGTGTGTAAAACACTGTTATTATTTTGTCAAAAATTCTAAAGACCGAAGGCGGTTTAATTTATACGAATCGAAGATTAGTTGACGCAATTTATATATCAGACAAATGTTTGGCACAACTATTAGATCCTATTTATTAGAATGTTACGACCTGGCAAACGGGAAACTGACTGACACAAGGGTAGATATGATATGAATGGAATGTGATGGGTGAGAAGCATGACGAAAAGTGCACCCGACACGGAAGATTCGCTTGATCGCTTGCTCGCTCGGCGCGCACACACACTGTTAAGTCGTCTTTGTAAAGCCAGGAATTATCAACGTTGTACCAACAGCTGCAAACTATTTTACAAAATGTATGCCTACCGTATTTTTTTTTCAGTCGCGTGCCATCTTTTTGGAAGCACAATCTTAGGCAATAAAACCTCGTCGGGTTTTAGGTGCATTTAAATCGACTGTGTGTAAATAAAATGTGAAACTAAACAAACATAAAGGAGTTCGAAACTAATCGCTTTAACGATAATTAATTAATGGCGATACATTACTTTAAAGTGGTAAATTATCGATAGTAACAGTGGATTTACAGTGGCAACGATGAACGAACGTCGATGCCACACCACACCAAATGTTCGCAACCACGGAAAACCAATTACAAATACTCTGATATTGATCCATATCGCGTCATTAAATGTACCGAGAGACACGACCGAGGTAATATATTGTTTGTGTGTATTCGATTGATTGATTTATTCATTGAACTATACTTACGTTCCATGCAAATGTATTTGATGTGTACGATTCCGTATGGCCACAGCACCGAAAATGGATGATCCTCATTGAACACAAAGCTGCAGTGGTTTTTACCGGAACATCTGAAACGAGGAACAGAAAAAAAGGCAATCAAAATCAATATACCATTCAGACATAATGAGCACAATTGGCTTTTGGACAACCATAAACAATAACCGCATTTAATTTATTGATTTTTGTTAAAAAAGCGAGCGCATAATTGACGACCAACACTGAAACTTTTAAAATAAACGCCAAACCAAATACCGAATCATCTGCAATTCCATGCTTTTTTCCGATGGAATATTGATTTGTATAGCGATTCGGCTCAACGAACTTTTAAGCAATTTGATTGATTCGCCCATTTTGATGTTCTATTGTCTATTGTTTGGATGTTTATTTTTTTCGCTCGCTCTCTGTCGCTGCTACCATGCGCTACTGAATTGAATGGAAAATGCGACGGAAATGATCGATAGCCGAATCACATGGCACTTTTTTGGACGCTACATCGATGCAATTGGAATATCAAAAAGATACCAATTACCAGCAGACGTGAGCACTTTTAAATGAGTTTTGAGCATGTGACACCAGGTATTTTACATTCAATAGCACATGAATATGTCGGGAATTCGTGTGTGTTTTTCTCCCGTTTTTTTTCTGGAGATATATTACCTCATCTCACATCATTGTCAACGATACTGTTTTCCAAATGAACTATACTGTGTTTTTATTGCAGCTAGATTTTTATCAACAAAAATACATTTGTCAAGCGGAATTATTCCGAATTGGAGAACTACCAACGTATTTTTCAAGTTTGATGGCACGAAGTTAATTAAAAGTAAATTAAAATTGCGTTAAAATTGAGTTGAAAATACTACTGAATTTTTGGCATCAAAATTCTCCGACAAATTTCTACTTGAATTGCAGTTTTATTGGCTGGCATTTTCATTGTCATATGTCTCTCGTTGATATCTTCTTTTTCCCTTCATTTTATCATGGGTTTCGAACAATGCTAACTGAATTCTCTTGAAAAACACTCTCAAATTGGCTTCACGGTGCCAAAAGAGTGACAAAAGTGACTGCAAAACAGTCTTTTTTTGGGAGATTATCAACTGTCCTACGAGCAAATAGCTTCGTCACGTCTATCTTTTCCGTCCATTTTCAAAGGGAACATGATTTCTCTCTGCTAATCAAAAGTTTTTAATTGACAAAAGTGTCTTTTCATTAACAGATTTGTGCATGGAGTTTGGCTTAAATAAAACATTCTTTTTATTTTTCAATTTGCTTCCACAGAAAGTTGGATGTAATTTTCAACAACGGGAAAAATATAATTTTTTTTTTTCATCAATAAAATACAAGTCGAAACATTATTTTTGTTCCAAACGAATCCCTCAATGTTTTACTCTAAAAAATGTTTTTTTCTCTTTCCAGAACGACGGTTCATCCCACAAATACGCGTGCATAGTCATCAGTTTAATTGAAATTATTTTGAAATCTACCATATAATTTGTTGCACTACAAATTTGTTTATATGCCCAATGCAACTAATTTATGGGCGAGAAAAAAATGTGGTTTTCAATTTATGGTAATGGTGTTGGAAAGGCGCAAAGAGAAAAAAAAACATTGTTCACGAGCGGTGGTGTCATGTTTGTTAGTACACACTTGTGTGCATATTTAATCATACATTCATTTCATTCGTCAGTGCGCGTAATTGTGTGCGATGGCGCCCGAAAAACTACAAAAATTATTCGGTTCACATTGATCCACCAGTTCCAAATCCGTCCATGGCACGCATTATTACATCATTAGATTTTAATCAGTTATTCAGTGCAACCGCACAAAACCCATTCATTATGTTCACCAAATATGGGTAAATGTCAAGCTCAAAGCCAAACAAAGTCCGTTGAAAAATTCTTTTCTTGGAATAATTATGGTTTTGCGTGTTTTTTTCAGCACATTATTTTTCTACACTCTTAAATCGGAGAGTGTAAACAAAGTGAATGAATGCTCTTCGCGAGATTGACACTCCATTTCATTTGTTCATTTAGTGGCTTGATGAAGGCCAAACTGGCAGTAAATTGTAATGAATGTGAAAAGGCAAATTCATTTGTTTATGATTGTGCAGATGTTGAGAGAAATTTCAGATTTAATTAGTTTGAGAAGCAAACGTGTTTTTCGCCTAAAAAACGGCGGAATTTCTTGATGGAAATGGCCGCGTTTAACAAATGTTCAAATAATTCTTTATTCTTTATGGGCAATGAAAGTGCCGTAAATATATCAGGAAAGGCCACACTTGAAACCATTCAAATAATATACAAAAAGCGAGCCATTCAAGCGTATGGAAAGATTGGAGTTTCCATTTTCTTTTCCGTATCGCTTTTCAATTGATTTTCTTTCTCTCTTTTTCATTCAGGAAAAGGAGTAGATTGGAAAAGTGAAAATGCGGCATTCTCAATCATGGCGGCTACAAATTCAACCGCAGACAGACATAAAATATACATTCACCAACACCATATCGACAGGGAATGATTTTCACTCTACAATCCCCAGAAACCAAAATAAACCGGTCGTTCTGTGCCGTGTAGACAAGACGCCGCGCCGCACCAAAGTCAATGGCGTATTGTTCTGTTTACAAAAGGTTTCCACTGAATCAATTCCATATACAAAATGCACTTGTTTCGATGCTGGTTCGGTTTTGGGATTGGTTTTCCTTATTTTTGCATGTCTCATTCACAAACACACAGTGGTCCTAAACAAACGACAGGTTAGTCTATGTAGGCTTTAATCGATACCCGGATACTATCGTAGTCAATGGGATGAGACAAATAGCGGCGAAGTTCAATTTTGAAAAGCCATGAGATTTAATATGCAAACCTAAAACCAAACATGAGGGGGGAAAATAACATAAATCGATTCATTTGTTTTTTTTTTGTTGTGTCGAAATAAAAATAGTGAAAAAAATGGAAACAACTTTTGCTTGGTGACATCAGGAAGTTTAATTAAACGATTTCAGAGTTTATCGTGCATGTAACCTCATTTTGAAAACTAAAATAATATCGAGAAACGAAGAGTTCGGTCGTCTGTTTTTGAGTTATAGTTTCGATATTGTTCGTGACATTCGTATAGTTTTTTTCAAGCTTTTCTTAATGAGGTCAAAAATATGGCGTTGCATTCGATAAGAGCCGAAATTTAGTATTTGGTTTTTTGAGTGTCTGTTTTTTCTCCGTTATTTTTTTCATTGAATTTGAGTAAAACAACTGTGCTACCATATTTCTCAATTCACTCTCATTACCGGACAGCATTTTTTTCTCAGTTTCACGGCCACCCACAATCGAAAACCTGCACACGCTCCATGAAGGAGCCAAACGAATCATTTCCGCCCGTTTTTTCTCTTTTTAATTTACTCCATTGCCCAGGTAAACATTGGGCGCGTGTTGGGCATTCATTCTAATATATTCGGGCACCGAAGAACACATTCGTTCTTAACGCACAATTTCAGTGGAAAAACATCGTTTTTAATTTCGACTTAATGGGAAAGTGTCATAATTTATGCCATATTTTTTTTATTGCCGCATATGCACGAATATGAGGAGTTCGTCGCTGCTATGAGATTTTGAGAAGGGAATGGAATGTGCGACGACCATGTTCACATTTCATTTACATGAAATAATTGTCTTTTATGAGCTTCAAACGGCGAGTGTTGAATGTAAAAGACAAATTTTTATTCTCTGGAAGAATGTTTCCCAGAAAGCGAATAAACGCCAGCCGAATGCTTAAGCCGCATTTTATTAAATTATGTCATTTTGGGAATGAAACCGAAGAATTCCTTGTGTTCACGACTGTTGTCAATGTGACTAAAAATAGAAGGATAGTGAAGATGCGTAATAGATTTTCGGCAGAGAGAGCCGTAATGTAATTAATGAGTTGGGCTAGCGTGCTTTATCGTTGGTTCGTGCGCGAGCGGTGTATATCACTCAGCACGTTGCGCAATAATAAAAATCACTGAATCCATTTTAAATTAACGCGCGCTGAAGATGCGCTCTCCTCTTTTACGTTTCTGCTCTGAGCCTGTTGAAAACGATGGAATTATGCTTTGAGCCATTTCGTGCCCATCACCACATCATACCATTTTTTCGTTCTTAACACGAAAAAGCAAATTACAAAAACGATTTGCCGCTCTCTCGTCTTTGTTGGCGGTTTTGTTTGTATAAAAACCACCAAAATATTTCAATCTATTTTCACTTATGTACACTTTGTTTGGGCCGTTTTCACTGAGTGTTTATTCTCGTGGGAAGCGTTCATCATGTTGAAGACATGTTTTGTGATGTCAATGCCATCAATCACTAACTCCATCCGAGATAGAGAGAAAAACAATCGTAGTAAAATGTGTACATTTTATGAGAAATGGATCATAGGTGAAAATTGATTTTCACTCTCAAACATTTTATGCATTTTTCCATTCAAAGCACTTTCAATATGCATTCCAGTGAACAAAGTGATTGAACCGTGGCACGAAAAGTCATAATTAAAGTTTTCGCATATTTTCGTCTAGTCTCGGCTTTAGTAAGCGTTTTCGTGTGAGCGTTGCTCCAACATCAAAAGCCAACAGAGGTATCAAATAGTTTGACTGAACAACCAAAAAAATGCATTAAATGCAGACGACGTTTTTATCGTACTCAGTTTACATTTTTTTTTACGTTTTTCTTCTTTTGAATTCCCATTTACATCGTAGTGCTGAAATGAACGGATGTCAAAACAAATTCCATCATTTCTGTCTGTTCGCCCGCTCACTCACTCACAGTACAAAGAGAAATGTATACAGTTATAGAATTTGATATTTTGTAGCGGAGGGTTGTGCGCTTCATGGGTATTCAAGTGTTCAAAAGCCGAAAAAGATGAAATGAGCGAATGAGTCGTTCAAGCGATTTTTGGGGAGAAAAGAACGGATTTGAGTGTACGTTTTGCAGACGAACGAACCAGAAATATTGACCTTATATATTCATTCACATTGAATTTTACGCTTTGGCAAAATCGCATGGAATACGTGCTCAAGCGCAGCGCTTGTATGTTGAATTAATCCCGT